TTGGATTCCTGTTTTCAATGATTTCTGGTCCACTGCTGTCCTTAATTATGTTGGTGGCCAAATTGTCCGGTATGTAACCAATTCATTCTACATTGATTAGAGCCCCTTCCAGCTGGCTGCTGTGTCATTGTGACATGTCCACAGTGTCTGATATCAGTGCCCTGCCTCTTCTGTTGGGTAGTCACATCATCTGTCTATGTGCCCTTCAAGGCCTCCCCAAGTAGATTTTTCTATGTGTTGTATAGCTTTTACATCAGACTATTCCTTAAAAATCTTTTAAAATTAGGGAGCACCTACCCAGACATATTTGAGCGATGTGTCAATAAGCAGGTAGAAACTTAATATTCTTTACAGTCATCTTACTTACTCCGTTTCCATTTGCAATAACGTGAGTCATCTAATGGGTTTTTGCTCTGTGGTGTGCACTTTCCTGGCTGGACTCAGTTGACTTCTGAGCTGCCCATGGGCTCCCTCTGCTGGCTCTGTGTGCATAAGCACTTTTCCCATGGATTTTGCCTTCTGCCCATTTTCTTTCTTTTGGTTGATCTCTCTTCAGTTATCACGCAGTTATGGATGATACAATACAAACAGTTTTGGAACCTGCTTTGTTTACTGAATGTATCAAGAATATCCTTCCTGGGGCCGGCCCGGTGGTGTAGTGGTTAAGTTCGTGTGCTCCGCTTCGGCAGCCCGGGGTTTGCAGGTTCGGACCCTGGGCGCGGACTTAGCGCACCGCTTATCAAGCCATGCTGTGGCGGCATCCCACATATGAAGTAGAAGTAGAGGAAGATGGGCACGGATGTTAGCTCAGGGCCAGTCTTCCTCAGCAAAAAGAGGAGGATTGGCAACAGATGTTAGCTCAGGGCTTATCTTCCTCACCAAAAAAAAAAAAAAAAGAATATCGTTCCCTATAAAATATATACATTTCTACATCATCATGTTAATGTTTGCATAATTTTCTATTATATGAATGTTCTTTTTAGCATTTAAATAATCCACTTTTAGTAGGCATTTGTATCGTTTATTTTCTCCATGGTAGATAGCTCTAAAATGAACATCCTTTCTATGTATACCATTCATATGCGACTAAGTTGAGCTTGATAAACGGGTAGGAATTTGACAGGTAAAAATATAGGGAAAAGAGACTCTAGTTCGAGAAAATTGTCTAGGCCAAGTTTAAGATGTGTTCAAGAAACAGGAAAATCACATTGGCTGAAACTGGTAGGGTCCCAGTGGGAAATGGTTGGAAAGTAGGTATTGTAAGACTTTCTGTTGACATGATAGAATCCAACTGCAACCATAAGTGAAGCAGAGTAGGAATTTATTTGTTTTTGTTTTTTGGTTTTTTTTCCCCCAAAGCCCCAGTAGATAGTTGTGTGTCATAGCTGCACATCCTTCTAGTTGCTGCATGTGGGACGCGGCCTCAGCATGGCTGGAGAAGCGGTGCGTTGGTGCGCGCCCGGGATCCGAACCTGGGCCGCCAGTAGCGGAGCGCGCGCACTTAACTGCTAAGCCACGGGGCCGGCCCCAGGAATTTATTTGTTATTAACTGGGAAGACCAGGGTGGCTGGATGGAGGGGCTCAGGGGCTGCTGCTGCACCCTTACCTGTCTCCATCTCTCCGTCTCTCCCTCCCCAGTCTCAGCTCTGGCTCTCTTGCCTGTTGGTGTGGAGAGAGAAAGAGCCCCCGGCCCCTCCACACTGGCAGCCAACAGCTCAGGTTGCAGAGAGTCACCTTCTCCCATTACTCACCAGGTGAACATCAGGGAAGGCCTGTGGTGTGCTGTTTGGGTCAGATGTCTACCCTTGGGCCAGTGCCTGTGAACAAGGGGACTAGGTGTCTGCATAGGTCAGATCTGAAGCCAGGGAACAGGTGGGAACTGTGGTAGACTCTCCCCCGGAACCCCATGGAGCAGGTGAACAGGAATTCCTCAAGGAAAAGAGGGTGCTAAATAGACAACAGCAGACATCTGCCACGTTCTCTTGGGTGGGTCTCTACCAGAACATTCCAGGTAGGTCCGAAGTAGGGTGTGGCCAATGACAAAGGAAAAGAGGGAAAGGATGAGAAAGGCACACTGTGAGGTTGGAAGAACAGCTCTCGGTGGTCCCTCCTTATAGAGCAGGAATACTTGGAAATAATTCCTCTGAGGTCAGGCCTCAGTGACTCAGGATGGCTCATTTAGAGATAGGAAGATCATGAGGAGAACTGGTGAATTTGGTCTTGGGCATGTTGATTTTGAAGTACTTTTGGAACACTCGTGTGGAAAGTCTAGCAGGACGGAACCAAATCCTACCTGGTTTTTCCTTCTTCTGACCAATAGCCCGCAGCAGGAAATGAAAAGAGCTGCCACTGATACAAAGGCTTTCCTCTCTCTTGTCTGACTGTAGCAGTAGACTCCTTCTGAGTCCCCTCTCTTTTAGCCTCTTTCTACCTAGAGTGCATCCTATACACCATTTCCAGAGTCATCTTTATAAAACTTCTCCGGTCTCTACCTGGCTCAAACACCTTCAGGGAGTGTTTTCGCATGTTATATTCAGTATAAAAGTGTCATTCAAGGTCTTTAGTGGTCTGTCCCCAAGCTACATTTCCATTTTTTCTATCTTACAACTCCCTTCTACTTGGTACGTGAATCTTGAGTCAAGTGAATTTTTGCTGTTCCATTAACATATGCCATGCTTTTCCCACCTCTGGTCTTCTGCTCTCAGTTTTCCCACATGCTAGAATGTCTTGACTAGGATCTGACTGGAGAACTACAGCTGGTTCAGAGAGGCAGGATGTTCCATAACAGTCCCGAGATTGTACCTAACAGGTAGAGTAAAACTTTAAGACATCACTTACATTCTAAATCCTCATATTTGTAAATAAGGCATGTACTGTCTCCATGAGCCATTCTTTGCTTTCTTCATTCCACATTGGTTAGAGCCCAGACTTCAGGGTAGCGTCACAAGAGAGAACACAGTGCCTGCCCTGAAGGGGAGGGTGTAGAGGCTCAGAGGGACTGGCAGTGGGCACCAGATTCTGCGTGCTGCTGCTGCGGTCGAGAGCTGGGAGAAGGGAGGGGACAGAAACTGGGAGGACTTCTGAGAAGGGGTGGCATTTCCACCTGAGTCTTGAAGGATGGATGACTTGAGCAAACAGAAAAAAGGCAGCATTTCAGGCAGAGGGTGTAGCATGGATGTCAACACCGAAGATCAAGGACTTGGGGGTTTTGGGGCTAGTGAGAAGTGTGGAGGTGGCTGTGGCTTGCGTTGTATGTGTGTCAGTACTAATTATCATCTGTCGTAGTCAGTTCAGGCTACTATAATAAATTGCTGTAGGCTGGGTGGCTTATCGCAACAGACATTTATTTCTCACAGTTCTTGAGGCTGGGAAGTCCAAGATAAGGTGCCGGTTGATTGATTCCCGGTGAGAGCCCTCTTCCTGGTTGGCAGATGCTGTTGTCTTGTTGTGTCCTCACGTGGTGGTGAGAGAGCTCCAGCTAGTTCTCTTCCTCTTATTACTACGACCCTAATCCCATCGTGGGGCCCCGCCCTCATGGCCTCGTCTGAACCTAATCACCTCCCAGTGGTCCCACCTAATACCGTCATACTGGGCGTTAGGGCTTCAACATGACTTTTTGAACATTCAGTAACACCTTCTAATACTTGTGGCTCTAGGAGGAAGAAGGAGTATGGAGAAATGCTTTATCTACTAGTTATTTAGTGACCAAATACAGCGAGTATTGAGAGAGCCAGGGACCCCATTAACCACACTCTGATCCAGCGACATAACTAGGTTGTCTCTCCCATCGAGATAAGAGATACCATGGATTTCAAGAAACCAGACAGCTCATTCTTTCCAAGAATAATAGTAAAGAAGCCATGTATTCTATTTCTAAATATAGAATGAATAGCATTCATAGTTGTCCAAATTTTGGTATCTTTCAGGAGAAAAATGGCAGATTGATTTTTTTTTGTTAAAAATAACCTTTTTAAAAACTTAAATAAGATAAAGACTTACCAACAATAGAGTAGAACATGAGACTGATAGAAAAAAATAGAAAACGAATTGGAAGTTGAGATGAATATAGATTATCTTGCTACATGTGTATTTTATACACTAGACAGATTGTTTGCTAATGCTTAAAATATTTTAGTTTTCGTGTTGGTTTCCAATCCAGGGAGAGTATATTGAGTTCCCTTTTTAGCCGGTAGATTTGAAAAGGTAGGACATGGCCTTTTTTTGTTATGCAGTGACATGGTTGTCCACCTAAGGGAGGGGTCGCTTTTATTTTTAGCTTCTTAATATCAGATGGGCCATGCCTGCAGAAGCAGTGGGAACTGCAGGGGCTGTCACCTGAGCAGAGGCCAGAGTTGGTGTGGGAAGGGTCTGCTTAGGGTCTGGTGTCAAAGGAAATGAATCTGGTGACTTAGAAATTTTGTTTTACAAGCTCCCTGGGGCTCAGCCGCTCTGCAGGGCACGCTGTAAAAGGAAAGGCGGTTTCCCTGTGTGTTTGCCTGCCAGATTATGGCGGCACCCGCAGAGGCGTGGCCTTCAACAAAGAAGGCACAGGAACACCTGGGAGGTTTATCTTCAGAGCTGGTTCTTCTCTCCGCAGTACATGTAACTCAAACACCGTCTTTCCAGAAAAGGAAAGGAAAGGGCATGAAAAGAAAGGAAATAAAGAAAGAAAAGTCTGAAATTTTTGTTACACTCAGCCAGACTCTACTTTAGATAAAGTACTAATGGAAATAGAGCTTTCTTTCTATACCAGGTTATACTTAGACAGCTGATCGGAACCAGAGAGCTTGGTTTCAGAACTCTGCTGTAATCCACGGTGGAAAAAGAATCACCCAGATGGCATTTGCTGGAGATTACCGACTGGTAATCCTTCCCTGTCCTAGAAGATTAAGTTGGCCTGGTGTAGTTGTGGTCAGCTGACCAGTTTAAAAAAAAATAAACTGTAGTTTCTTGTATTTCTGCCAGTGTCTGACGTTTGCTCGCACTGTTTGTCCATCTGGGCAACTTTGCAGAACCTGGCCCTCCTTTGTTGACCAAAGAAAGCTCCCCTCCCCTGCCCAGGTTGGTCCTTGTTTGACCAAAGTTAACAGCAGGTGGTGAACAGGGCCCTTCCTAAGTTGCTCGGGATAAGTCATTGATTAAACAGGCCTGCTGGTCGGAGGATGTGAAGGCTCCAGAAGGAAATGCTGCACCTGGGCCAGGAAGCCAGGCTCTCTGAACCCTGGGCTTGATTTCTTCAGCGAGGTTTCGCGGGATATGCTCAGAGCGGCTGCGCTCAACTGAAGGCTATCAGGCGGTTATAAAGCCATGTGTTCTGTGTTTGCCTTGAATGGACTGTAGAGACATGGATTTCTATGAGGACTACGAGTCCCCGTTTGATTTTAATACAGGAGTGAACAAAAACTATCTTTACTTGTCTCCTAGTGGAAATTCGTCTCCACCCGGATCACCCACTCTTCAGAAATTTGGTAACTACTAACTTTCTAAAGTTGTGTTTGCTGTAATAAAACCTGGGCACAACTTGGGGTTTACTTGGCTTTAAAATTATTAGTGTAGAGATGTACTGGGATGTTGCTGTGTTGAAACTAGTTGACAAAGCTGTTACAGATTTCAAGCAGAGAGAGATGGCTCATTAAATATTGGGAATACCTATAAAACGGGAACTTAGATTTTAAAGGTAGTACTATTTGTGTGAGCATTCGAGTTCTCATCGCTTTGAGTTCATGGAGCTGATAAATAACAAAAAAGGGGGAATCGGAAGGCCTTTGCTCGGGTCGCCTCTGTGTGCTATATGAAGACCCTCCTGATTTTGTCTTTGCTAAAATGAGGCTTAAGCATCTGAGCACTGACTAAATTGAAGGTGCTGCTAATAGAGGTCCTGGATTTTGTTCTAGAATACTGAGAGCAATGCCTAGGCAAGAGATTTTTAAAAAAGAAAACCTCCAAGTTGCCGTGCCTTTGGAAGCAGTCGTTCCTTCCTATGCGCCAGTGTGAGGTTGTTCTGAAGGCGGGAGTTGCCGTCAGGGAGGGTCCTAGTTTACCAGCACAAGGCAGCACGGAGCGGGAAGCCGCCGCAGCCGTCACCCAGGCCAGCCTCCTCGTTGAGTGGCTAACGCCGGGAGACGGTGAAAGGACCTCCTCTGTAACTTGCCAGAGACGTAGCAGGTTTTCCTAGATGTGAATTTTTTCCTTATTAAAGAAGAATAGGTCCCATTGTGCTCTTTTTAAGCTTAAAAAGTGGGTAATATCAGAACAAATGGTAAAGGAGACAGCATGAAACCTGGTTGTAGGTATTTTAGGTTGTATGTGTGTGATGATCGAGTGGCATGCTGAAGCCACAGCCCTCGAACCACTGGTTGCAGTCGTAACCACCTGTGGGGTGTCGTTCGGATTTCCAGGAAGGGAGAAATGTTGAAAATCACAGGTTAGAGTGGGTCTCTAGAGTTGGGGACTGGTGGGCAGCAGCTGGATGTCTGCTGGGGAGTCGGATTGCCAGGAAGCCCTCTCCTTTGCTGTCCTTCCCTGTCCACCGTGGACCTCTTTAATAAAGTGGAACCTCCCCCAAAAGGATGACATCCTCCACCCTAACTTCTAAATCCTACGCACAGGAGATGCTTCAAGAGCAACACAGCAGGGAAGTTAGAACTGATGACAAGGTAAAGCTTAAGTGACGAGGGGCCATGGCAGCCGGGCTGCAGTTCCATGACTTCAGGTGGATTTGGTGATCAGTGTGCAAGGGTTTGAGATTCCCCGGAGGATTTATGCGTTTGTTTTAGTTCTCTGCCACTCTCCTCCGATCTCTGTCTCACCTCCTTTCCCCCTTCCCAGTTGCAGTAATTGCTGCCTTTGGATGTTTTCTGGTAAAACAAAAGCAGTTGGTAGGGTTGGGCATGTCTCTCGGCAAATTTCCAACAATTATCTTCCTGATTCCTAGTAGCAGTCTGTAGGGGTCTGGGCTCATGGGATTAAAAACAAAATTATAAAAAAGCAAGTGAACACCAAAAGCTAGAAACAGACTCATGTACCCACTAGCACTCAGATTTAGTAGTTTGCTTTAACTGAAAAAAAGGGGAGAGAGCATTAAAACAAACAAACCACCAAAAGTGGTCATCCAGCAAGAACATGGTGATTCTAAAACGACCAGATAAAAGTGGGGATCTAGAACAGTAACCACTGTCTCTGTGCTCTGGACCCCTCAGGGCACAAGAAGCCTGCACATCTGTTTGAACATCAAGCATGAGGCGCAGATGGAATGAAGGCTATGTCTTCAGTGTGTTTGTACTCTTTGTGTTTCTATGTTGGAGCTCTCAGGACGGATACATTATAAATCCACTTAAAAGTTCGTGTGGCTTTTGGCCACTATGCATTTTCTTTATCAGCAGAAAAGGCGTATACAAAAAAGGACTGATGTTAGACGGAATCCTACTCAGAAAGGTTGGGAACACTGATCTGAAAAACATATTCTTTGATATTTATCCAAAATGCCATCATGGGGCAGATGAGAAAGTAACGAGATGTAATCTGTGGGCAGAATGTTCCTAAGAAGCGGTCTGAATGAAGGATAGGATGAGGGCGGGTGGCTGGAACAAAGAGAAGTCTTTTATCAGGGACTTTTAAACTCGTTTGGTACAGCCAAATGCCTTATATAAAAACCCTCGTAAATAAAAATATCAGCAGCTGAAGCAGAGTTCTTTACTCTTTGTGATGTGCTCTCATATTGTAAACGGCTGCTTTTGCTCTTTCTTAAATGCTCATTTGGTAGTGCTAAATGGATTTCACAGCCCATAGTCTAAAAAACTCTGATTTGTAATGTTTGAGAATCTGGAATATAAGCTCCATTAGGGCTGTTAGTCTTTTTTGGTCACTGTTTTTTCCCCAACACTTGTAATAGTGCTTGACATCTATGGCTCAACAAATGATGGATGGTTGGATGGATGGATGACAGAGGGAAACCAAACTGGCAAGGACTAGTTCACAGTGCCGTTCATTTTACAGATGTGAACCTTGAGGCCAAGAAAGGTGTTATGAAGTCCCCACATCACAAAGCTGAGTTAGCCTAGGTTGGCCCTCAAGCGCATCTCTCAATTTTCCAGCCAGTGCGTTTGTGTGTTTTGATCACACTGTCTCGGCCTCTCTCGTAACAGATATCATAGAACGGGTTAATCTTTCAAAGCGTAACCTTTCCTTTTGTCAGGGGTTTTGCCTCGAGGGGTAGTTTCTTGATTCTCTCTGTGCCGCCTGGACCTGTACATTCCGGTTCATCCCCGCAGGTTTCTGGTCAGTACAGTAATCTCCCCGCTAGCGTTTTCTGTTGCATTTTCTGTCCCATTCTGTGAATATCTACAAGGATGATTTCCCACATGTTATTTATGTAGACTTACTCTTCCTCTTCAGAATTTTCTAAAGTACAGAAAGGTGCCACCCTGGTTTATAAAAACTTTTGGTTATTTCTAGTAATTTCAGGAAATAGGAGCAGGAGCCGTTTAGAAATCTGACATATGCTGTCACATTCGAAACTCCGAAAGCACTGAAAAAAATCACACTGAAAGGCCTGAGCTCAGAGTCCCTCTTTTCATTCTGCTTTATGACCCTTTTTGATTTCTGCTCTTTCTCACTTCTTTTTGGGAAGTGGTTATCACTTTGTGAAAGTTTTTCGTAATTGTAAAGGTCTAGCCAAATTATGTGGTTTACAAAATAAAAATCAGGGCAGAGTTGAAGAGATGGAGAACCTCTTTCTTCCTGCAGAGGAAATTTAAGGCTGGAAGCGACTTCCTCTCTGGGGATCCCCACATTTCTCCGTGGCTGACCTCTGGTCTCTCTTTGGTGGAGTGTGAGCCCCAGTTACTAGTTTTACCCTCGATTGGGGCTGGGCAGGGGGGGCAAGTGGCTCTGAAGTAATTGACTGAAGATTTTTTCCCTCTTTTTTTTTTTTCTTTTAAGATGAAAGAGATTTAAAGATCAGTTTAGGAATATCTGGAGGAGGCATTTGAAAATACTAATGTGTCCTACTTTGCGATCTTTTCTTCCTCCTCCACCCTTTCTGTGAAGTTTTGGGACGGTGACCTTCTTCTTGGGCAGGGGGTTGAACACTGTTCAGGGCCCTGCTTTTAGAGTTGTGTCCCAGGAGCGCTCTCGGTGGCCCAGCTGGGTCAATCTGGGTCACAAGCTCTCATTTCCCCTTTTGGTTTTGGCTTAGGGCCGTCTGGCTCCCCTCGTGGGCCTGCCTCCTTTCCTCTCTAATGACCCTGATGGTGCCCAGTTCATCTCCTGGGTTTCTGGGTCTTTCCCCAAATGGAGTGGGTCAGGTTCCCTCCCCTTTCTTGTTCTTGCTGCCTCGGCTACGATAACTCGACTCAGCTTTTTCTCTCCTAAGGTTCTCACCATGGGCAAATACGGGAAAATTACAGCCTTAAGAAATATAGTTCTCGTGGCCCTCACTACTGAATCTCTTTCTTCTGAAGATAATCAGTGTCAATAGCAGGTATCAGATGCTTCCTGCCTTAAGTCAGTGGTTTTCAACCTGGGCAATTTTGCCCCCCTGCGGGCATTTGGCCACATCTGGAGAAGATTTTGAGACAGTTTTGGTTGTTACCACTGGGTGTAGGGAAGGGCTGCTATGACATTGAGTGGGTAGGTCCCCAGGATGCCACATGGGATGATGCACAGGACAGCCCCCACCACAAAGAATTATCTGGCTCAAAATGTCCATCATGCTGCGGTTGAGAAGCCCTGTCTTCAGTGGATTCTTTGTTTTTAGGGTCTCTTAAGGAGAACCACTTTGATGTGGGGACCTCCAAATATTCCTCCCGCCTCTTCAGGGATTTTGTTATTTCTGGAAACAAAGAACAGGGCTCAGAGAGTGGGAGCCCCAAGCTTATAAGGGGAAAAATATCTTTATTTTGTGATCTTTTTGGATATGACACTAAAGATATTTTGAACTATATGTTATATCTTTAGGTTAAAAAAAAGGGGACACGTATTTCCTCACGTTTTTGCTTAAATAAAACAATCGTAGACACTGAAGTTTCTTATTCCTACTCTGGCCTTGACAGCCATTGTTGCCTCTTTGAAGACTGGGTGAGAGAGGTGTATACAGTTTTGTTTTCGAGAGAGGCTTGTAGGGCTCGATTATACTCTAACACACTCTTGGGTAGACAGTGTGAACATTCAGACTAAATAGCAGATACCTTAGACTCCTCCTCTCGCAATTTCTTCCCTCCTAGCTGAACTTTCTTGGGGGCGACTGGCATTGTGTTCTTCCTGTTACAATGTCATTAGTTCCCTGCCCCGTACAACCCTGGTGCGTTGGGCTGTGTACACACTTTCTCTGAACGTGGAGGTAGGTGACCTGCTCCAAATGGTAACAGTCTTTGGAGAGATCATGTATGAGACAGAAGTGGTATTTCTTTAGAAAAGTGACATTTTATGTCTGTTTTAAATAGAAAAATCTTTGTAGGTAAGTGAAGTA